TACCTGTAATGGAACAGAGGAAGGGGAAATTTTGACTCCTGGTAAAGAGTTGGATTTGAATAGTATAGTTCTATGTGCTAAACAGAAATCTGGAAGTTTTCAGATAAATGTGAAAGAGCTGGTTATTCCTAAGGGTTCTAAGGTAGGGAGCCATTCTTATGAGAAAAAAGTTAAGTTGATTAAAGAACTTAAGTCCCTTGGTACAGCAAATATTATTCCTCATAATAGGAAGATGGAAAGTGTAAAAAATAAAAAGGTTGGGGGTCCTTCCCCCATCTTCAAATAATGTCTTCCTTTCTTTTTTGGAATTGTAGAGGAGCCAAGAAGGTAGAGGCTGCTCTATATCTTAAGGAGGTAGTCAAGGATAATGGAGTGTTATTTGTGGGTTTATTGGAAACAAATATTAGTTCATTGGAGAATTGTCATATGTTGAAGTTTCTGAGCATGAAGTGGGATTTTTTTCAGGTTCCATCAGTTGCACTCTCGGGTGGCTTGATGGTGTTGTGGAGGAAAGACTTAGCTAACTTCTCGATTATTGAAGCTACTTCTCAAATGATTTTGGGTAAGCTGAATGTTACAGGAAAAGGAAGCTGGGTGGTGGCTTCTGTTTACGGAAGCAATGATGTCCAGAAAAGAAGGATTCTTTGGGATGATCTAGAAAGGCATTGTGCAGACAATTTACCTATGGTAGTAGGTGGTGATTTTAATTGTGTGATGTCTCAAGCTGAAGAAAGAGGTGTAAAAAATTTACTTTGAATCAAGGCTCCAAAGATTTCAATAACTTCATTATTAGAAATGATCTCCATGAAGTAAAGTCCATGGGACCAAGATTCACTTGGTGTAATAATAAAGCTGATAGAGCTCGTATTATGGAAAAGTTAGACAGGTGCCTTATTAATTCCACTGCCTTAGATTTCATTCATCTTGCTCTTGTTAAACACTTGTCTCGTGTTGCTTCGGATCATTGTTCGGTTTTGTTGGAGGTTTTCAAACCAGTTGAGTATTTCAACAGCATTATAAGTTATGAAGAAGTTTGGGCTTCTTACAATGGTTCTTCTGCTTTAGTGAAGAATGTTTGGATGAGGAATTGCAAAGGGGATCCGGCATCAGTACTTAATTTGAAGTTCAAAAGGACTTTAAAAGCTCTGTTTCATTGGAGTAAGGTGAAATACAAAGATTTGAACGTGTTAAGGGATAAACTCAAGAGTGAGATCTTGGAAATCCAGCTGGAAGAATCTGAAGGATAGATCTCATTTGATAAGCTACAGATTTTGAGATATAAAATCAATGAACTTAATGTTACTTTGGCTAGACTTAATACTTGGTGGAGGCAAAGATCCGAAGCTAGATGGATGGATGAAGGTGATTGTAATACTACCTTTTTTCATGCATTTGCGAATGCAAGGAGGAGTTCGAACTGGATCAGCAATATCAAAACTGTGAGTGGTATTATTTCGGAAGAGGAAGCTGTGATCCATAATACATTCTCAGAATTTTTTAGGCGGAAATGGCAACATAGAAACTACTCATTAGATGGTTGGCCGGAACCATCTAATGTCATTAGTAATGTCGACCAGAAGATGCTTGAAGCTGAGTTCTTTCGGGAAGAGTTACAGGAGGTTGTTCATAGTTCTAAGAGGAGTATATCTCCAGGATTAGATGAGATTTCTTTCTCCTTCATCAAAGACTTATGGCAAATAATCAAAGGTGATGTTTGGCTAGCTGTTAATCAATTTCTTTCTTCAGGTATTATGAATGAGTCTTGGAAGGAAACCTTGATTGTTTTGATCCCTAAAATTAAAATTCCACAAGAACCTGTTCACTTCAGACCCATTACTCTTTTTTTGACTATTTACAAATTCATTGCTAAGATGCTTCTTAATAGACTGGAAAGAGTTATTCATAAGATCATCTCGGCGGATTAATCAGCGTTTGTTAGAGGATGATCTCTATCTGATCATGTGCTTTTGGCTCAGGAGGTGTTCATTAAACTCAGATGGTCCAAGGCTAGAAGTGGAATGTTTGCTATTAAGCTTGACATGGAACAAGCTTATGACAGTATGGGATGGAAAACATTAAGGCATGTTCTTATTCAGTTTAATTTTCCTTCTAGATTTTTGGAGCTTGTTTTGCAATTTGTACTCAATCCCAAATTTTGTATTCTAATTAATGGGAAGAAAACTGGATGGATAGAAGGGAAATGTGGATTCAGGTAAGGATGTCCCTTATCTCCTTTTTTGTTCATTTTGTGTTCTCAAATTATGTCAGATGCCTTACTCTCTAGAAGAAGTGGTATGGGTAATTCAATTTCTCCATTGGCTCCTAGAGTATCTCACTTACTCTATGCAGATGATATTTTAATCTTTTCGGAAGCAAAGATCAAAGAAGTTAAGGAGTTGAAGGAAGTCATTTCCAATTATTGTAATTGGACGGCGCAAAAAGTTAACAATTTGAAATCTATGATTATTTTTGGAAGGTTTACTAAAAGGAAGGTCTAGAAGAAGATTGTTAAGAAGCTCAAATTCAAAGTGGTAGAGTAAATCAGCTACCTTGGTGTGAAGTTAACCCTTAGGAGGTTGATTGCTTCAGATTTTCAGGTTTTGTTGGAGGATGCTACTAATAGACTTAATACTTGGGGGAAGAAATGCATTTTCTTGGAAGGTAAGTTGGTTTTAGTTAAATCAGCTTTCCTTTCTTTGCCTCAATTTTTATCTACTCTTTCATTAGTTCCTTTGAGTATACTGAAGGAATTTTATAAGATGTGTAGAGGGTTCCTTTGGAGTAAAAATAATGGTAATGCTGGAATCCATTATGCTTCTTGGGATTTGCTTTATAAGCAGAAGATTGAGGGTGGTAGAGGGTTGTTTTCTGCTGTGTCAAAGGTTGGTCCTCTTCGGGCCAAATTTGCTTGGAATTTTTACATGAAGCCTCATTCTTTATTGAATCAAATACTTAGAGCGAAGTATGGGGAAGATTTATGGTTGGAATCTATGAATGGTGGAATTTCTTCAACTTGGAAGATTATTACTATGGGAGCTAAATTTCTTAAAAATATTGTTAGATGGAGTATTTCAAATGGGGAGTCTATCAATTGGTTGAATGACTCTTGGATTTTAGAAAAATGTATAGCTAAATGTCCTTCATTTGTCAATATTCAAAATGTTTCAGATGTTAAACTTAGCACGTTCATTTCTAACAGCAAATGGAATATGGAAAAGCTCAAAGTTTTTTTTGGGGAACAGCTTATGGAAACAATTTGTAATATTCCTATCAATTTCAACAGAGATTCAGATTTGTTGGAATTGAAGTATAAGTTCTCTGAGAGATCTGTTACTGGGCATTTGAAGCGGCTTTGGTTCATGAGGAGGACGTTGCTCATTGAAATTGGATGAAGAAGCTGAAGTTAAAACCGAAAATTGAACTTTTTTGGTGGAGACTTTGCATGAATGCTATTCCTTCAAATACTTTGCTGGTAAATAGGAAGTTAAGCAATTTTTCTGGTTGTCCGAGAGGTTGTGATGTAGATGAGGATAACTGCCATTTGGTTGGAAATTGTTTCAAGATCCGGAATCTAATTTTTTTACTGAATGGCTAGGGTTTTTCAATCCTGGTTTTTAACGGGTTTCTGGATTGCCTGGAGTGCCTTCATAGGCTTGTGAGTAAGAATTCACTAAGTGCAAATATTTTTTGTTCAGATACTTATCTTGTTTGGAAGAGTAGATGCAAGGTGGTTCATGGTGATAAGGAGGATTTGGATGCTATTATTGCTGCTAATGCCATTTCTTTTGCTGTTAGAAATAACTTTTTAAATATTCTGCCAGTTAATTGGGATGCTAATCAGCAATTGCTGTTGTTTCCTTGGCATCCTCCTCCACCCGAGTGGCTTAAAATTAATGTTGATGCAGCTCTGAAAAGGAACAATTTGACCGGGATTGGTGGCATTGCTAGAGACAGAAAAGCTAGATTCCTTGTTGCTTTTGGAACTCAATGTTTGCATTGGGATATTTCTCTGTTGGAGCTGTTAGCATTTTATATCTGATAAATGTGGTGAAGGAGTGGATGTTTGAAGCTCAAGGTGTCATCATCGAAGGGGATAATTTCAATATCATTAAGAGGCTTCAAAATTCTATCAAATCATGGAAGGTTAGTAAATTGATTGATGACAATTTGGACTATTTGCTGAATTTTAATCAAGTTATTTTTTTTTCCTTTTTGAATAGATGTAATAACAAATTAGCTGATATATGTGCTAATTTGGCTTTAACTAGATCTTTTTTGTGGGAAGATCTTAATGACGACTTGATTTCTCTTTCTTTAATGAATTGCTTGAAGGAGGAATGTGATGCTTTAGGGAAACTTCATTTGTAATTTTTTTGGTTTTTTAGTTTTAATGCATTCAGCATTTTGTTCAAAAAAAAAAAAAAAAAAAAAGGGGGGTTTTTTTTAAAAAAAAAAAAAAAAAGGCGGGGTTGGCTCCCTGATGGTAAATAGATGAATTCGTTACTTTTCTGGAATTGCAGGGGAGCCAGGAAAAAAGAGGCTTCCTTGTATCTCAAGGAGATAGTTAGAGATCATGGTGTTTGCTTTGTGAGATTGATGGAGACCAAGTTATCAAGTATTGATAGAATTGAAGTAGATTTTCTTATTGGGAAGGATTGGGATTACTTTCATTTCCTAGCTATGGGTACTGCGGGTGGCATTTTGGTGCTGTGGAATACAAGGATTGTTTCTTTTGCTATTGAAAGAAGTGCTTCTCAACTGGTGATTGGATCTCTTTAAACACCTTCTTTGGGTGTGTTGAAAGTGGCAACGATATACGGCAGTAGATGTAATAATGAGAGAAGGAGCCTTTGGAGCATGCTTGAGACAAGTTTGAAGGATTCGGGTCCTGCTATTTTGGGGGGGGGGGGGACTGGGGGGGGGGGGACTTCAACTATATCTTAAATAAAGAAGAGAAGAAGGGTGGCAAGCGGTTCTTATTCTCTAGAGGGCCTAGAGAGATGAAAGAATTTTTTACTAATGCAGATTTTCATGTTGCAAGTTTTGTTGGACCGAGTTTTACTTGGTGTAACAATAAGGAAGGCTCTTCTAGAATTTGGGAAAGGCTTGATAAGTGTTTGCTTAATTCCTCAGCTTTGCATTTGGTGCCATTTGGTAAAATTAAACATCTTGCATGGGTGGCGTCGGATCAGAGCCCAATTGTGTTTAATTTGGATGTAAGAAAGATCAACAGGAACAAGAGTATTAGAGTCGAAGACACGTTGAGGTCTTACCCGGCTGGTTGGAGCAATGTTCAGAATTCTTGGAAGAAGGCTGATTTCGGGGAAGAAGAGGAGGTGCTTCATAGAAAGTTGAAGAGGACATTGAGAGCATTATTTCTCTGGAATAAGAATAAATGCCGTGATTTATATGAACTATTGGAGGAACTAAAAAGTAAAATCATGGAATTACAAATTAAGGAGGCTGCGGGTTCTAGGCTTGCTAGTGATGATTTGCTTATGCTTAGAAGGATGATTCATGAGTTGAATATAACTGTTAGAAGACTTTCTACTTAGTGGAACCAAACAGCTAAGGCTAGATGGTATGAGGAAGGTGACTCCAACTCAAGGTTGTTTCATAATTTTGCTTCAGCATGTAGGAATGCTAATTAGATTCGATAAAATTAAGAATGTTAATAACAATCTTGTGGACGAGGATGATCAAATGAGCAAGTCTTCTTACAATTCCTTGAGACAAAGTGGGAGTATAAAGATTGTGAATTATCTGGTTGGTCGTTGCCTTTAGAAAAATAGAAGTTGAATGAATGTGGTGTTGCATTGCTAGGTCCAGATTTTACTATGGAAGAATGTAGGAGATAAGTTTTTCAGCAAGGGAATAATAAGTCTCCCGGAATTGAAGGGGTGACTACCTCCTTTTTTAAATGTTACTGGAATATAGTAGGTGAGACTACTTGGTGTGCAATTAAGAAATTTCTTAGTGGTGGAGAGATGCATAAAGATTGGAAACCCACACTTATTATCTTAATTCCTTTGATTAAAAATCCACTGGTGCCATCTAGCTTCAGACCCATCAGCTTGTGTCAAAGAACATATAAAATTGTGGCCATAATGTTGGTAAACAGGTTGAAAAATTGCTTACCCAGTATGATATTCGAGGAACAAGTAGCCTTCATTCCGGGAAGGTCAATGTCAGAGCATTGCTTATTGGCGCAGGAAATTTTAAATAAATTCAAAGTTTCTAAAAATTAAAAAGGAATGATGGCAATGAAATTGGATATGGAGCAGGCGTTTGACAGTATGGGGTGGCCAACTTTGAATCAAATTCTCCAATCGTATGGTTTTCCTGTTTCATTTTTGAAGGTTCTAATGGAGTTTGTGGTAAATGTTAGATTTTCTATTGTAAAGAATGGAAAGTGTACAAGATGGATTGATGCTCATTGTGGATTTAGGCAAGGTTGCCCTCTCTCCCCGTATTTCTTCATAATGTGCTCCTAATTGTTGTCTAGTGTTATTGAACAAAGAGGCCATGCATTGGGCATTCAAGTGTCTTCAAGAGGTCCAAGTATCTGACACCTTTTGTATGCAGATGATGTACTATTATTCTCCAGGGTTTCAGCTCCCACAGCTCAATTGATCAGTTGCATTGTGAAGGATTTCTTTAGCTGTACAGGGCAAAGAGTTAAAATTAACAAATCACAAATTATGTTTGGGAAGTTTGTTAACAGATCTTGCAGGAACAAGGTGTTAAGAATCCTTGACTTCAAGGTGGTTAAAGAATTACACTACTTAGGAATTAAGATCTCTCTACAATGGTTGGGAATTGCTGATTTTCAGGATTTATTAAGACATGTTATTGATAGGCTTAATGTGTGGGGGAAGAAATCATTTTCTTTGGGAGGAAAGATTACTCTTCTAAAAACCTCTTTGATTTCTTCGCTGAGTTTTGCTATAACTCATTCTCTTGTTCCTAAGAGGGTGATTCAGAAGGTGGAGAAATTGTGTAGGAAGTTTCTTTGGCATAAGCAAGATGGGAAGTATATATTACATTACATTTCATGGGAAGAAATTTGTAATCCATGAAATGTTGGTGGTCTGGGTGTGCTGTCATTAACAAACAAATCTGGAGCTCTATGGGCAAGATTAACCTGGAACTTTGTCCAGAAACCTGAGACTCTTCTGCACCGAACAGTTTTGGCCAAATTTGGTAATAATGTGTTGAATGACAACAGCATAAACTGCTCCTCTAATGTCTGGAAAATTTTAATGGATGGAGGGAAATTTTTAAAGCGTATTGTTAGATGGAAGGTGGGAAGAGGAGATCAAATTCAGGTTCTTAATGATGTTTGGTTGCTGGATAGATGCTTAAATGAGTGGCCTACTTTTATTTATTGCGGTGCTTTGGAGAATTTGAAAGTTCAACAGCTTATTTCAGATACAAGACATTGGGACGAAGGTAAACTACTCAATTGGTTCCATGACGATCAAGCAAGTCATATCAGGAATGTGAAACCAGATGTATAGTAGGAAGATCAATTGGAGACAGTATGTAAGTTCTTGGGTAAATCTATTTCTGCTTTGGCTTATGATAATGCCATGAAAGACAAAGGAATTAGTGATGTTGATGGTTTTTATAACTGGCTTAAGAGCTTAAAGCTTAACTATAATGTGGAATTTTTTTGGTGGATGCTTAACAAATTTTCTATTCCTACAAAGCACTTTTTAAAATTTCGAAGACTAGAAACTAATGATTGTTGTGCTAGAGGATGTCTGGAAACGAAAAATAATGAGCATGTTATTTTTCAGTGTAAATATCTTGAAGAGGTGAATAATAAAATTCGTTAATGGGGGTTTTATATTCCTTTATTTCGATCTTTGGAGGGCTATTTTGAAGAGCTGAAAAGGATTTCTGGTTAGAATTCTGGTATGGTAAGACTTTACTGTATTGCTGTGTTTTTAAACTAGAAAAACCGCAATTCAGTGAAACATGGAAAGGCAGCTTTGCCAAGTTCCTCAGTGGCTGCAAATGTGCTCTCTCTAGCTGTTTTGAAGTCTTCTCCTTATCTAGTTAGTTGGGGTGCTAATCTCCCAAGGGCATTATTTTCTACTTGGCTCCCTCCACCACTAGATTGGATCAAGATAAATGTGGATGCATCTTTGTTGAGCTCAAATAGAGGTGGAATCGGTGGTATCTTTAGAGACCATAAAGGTAGACTTCTTCATATTTTTGGTAGGAATAAGATTCATTGGAATATTGCCCAACTGGAGATGGAGGTTATTGTGGATATTAGAGAATTTATGCAAAGTTGGATGCTTTAGAGCAAAGGTATTATCATTGAAAGTGATAATACTAATGTGATTACATTCTTATAAGATTGTTTGAAGAAAGTTGATTGGGAATTGGATAAGTGGCCGGTCCAGGACCTTTTCTTCTAGAAGGACTTTAATAAGGTTGTTTTTCATCATGTTAATAGGAATTGTAATAAAGTAGCTGATTTTTATGCTAGTTTTTCTTTTGATATCATTCTGAATCCTTTGATTGATTTGATCAAGGATGAGATACTATCAATTTATCTTGTATCTAAGTTTGTTGCTTTCCTTTCTCTTTTAATATCTTTGCTCTTGCACGGTTTTAAAAAATAAAAGATCTTTTGCTACTGTCTTGATCTGAGAGAGCCTAGAGGAGAGAGAGAGAGAGAGAGGGAGAGAGAGAGAGGATTTTGTGAGGGGGAGCTTATGAGGAGAATTCACAAGGGTTGATCCAAGAATTAATCCACTTCTTCTTCCCCTAGAGTCTCTTGTCCTTGGAAGGGCTAAGAGAGGTGAGCTTCAACAATCTATCAAGGTTTTCTGCCTGTTTCAGGAGGAAGCAAAGGAGTTGGGTTCTCTGCCTCATCAGGGTTGGCAAAAAGGAGGTTTTGTAAGGGCTTCTTCGCCTTACTATGGGAGCAAAAGGAGAGTCAGGTTTGTAGTGCAATACCTGGAGGGCACCTCCAGAGAGTGGACGTAGGTCGAGTTGACCGAACCTCTATAAATCTCTATGATCTACTTCTACTGCTTCCGCATTCATTTATTTTTCTGCACTTTGATTTATGTGGTTATTTTAGTTTACGATTGTTTGGCTTTTGCTTAAAGAATTTTAAAAATACCAATTCACCCCCCCCCCCCCCCCCCCCCCCCCCCCCCCCCCCTCTTAGTTAGCCTCCGGCTAGTTCTAAAGGGCATAACATCCCTAACAAACTTTCAAGTGGTATCAGAGCGGGATTCATAAAATCCAAGTTTGAAAATTTTTTGAATTTTGATCCATGGCTAACAATGATAAACGTATTACAACGGAAGGATATTCTATTACATGAACACTTTTGTTTGACAATCTTCCTTTTGATTTTTGGAAAACTCACATGTCTACTTTTTTACAATCAATTGATTATCGCATGTGGATGCTTGTTAAGGAAGGGTACTTTCCACCTTCTTGTGAACTTAATGGAATTAAAATTGAAGTACCTTTTATTGAATGGACTATTGATGAAAGAGATCTTGTGCAACTTAATGCAAAATGTTTGAATTGTTTTTTCTTTAATTTAAAATTTGAAGATTACATACGTGCTTCCACTTTCTCTACTGGTAAAGAAATTAGGGATAAATTGTGTATCACCTATGAAGGCACTAATGAAGTTAAGCAATCTCGTTCGAAAATTTTGTTGCAATATTATGAACTTTTTCGTATGAAACCAAATGAAATGCTTTCTGATATATATATACGAGATTTACTCATATTGTTACTTCGTTGCATGCCTTAGAAAGAGAACTTTTTAACTATGAAAAAAGTGAACAAAATTTTAAGATGTTTGCCTTCCTCTTTTGATGCCAAAATCACTACAATTTCTGAATCTAAAGAATTGAATACCTATTTGATTGATAACTTACTTGGCTCACTCATTGCTTACGAGCAAGGGATGAATTAAAGAAATCTTGATGTAGGTGAGAAAAGGAAGGAGAATACTGTGGCATTGAAGGCCAACAATATGGACTCTGATTCTTCCGTGTTTGAAAGCGATGATATTGCCTTAATTACAAGGAAATTCAAAAGCTTTCTAAGGAAGAATCAAAAGAACCATCAGAAGTGGAGCAAAGGTAAGGGAAATAAAAATTTTAAGAACTCTAATGATATGATTTGTTTTGAATGCAAGAAATGAGGACAAGTCAAAGTAGATTGCCCTTCACTTAAAACTCACCCAAGCAAGGAGAAGGGTGAGGAGAAACCCAAGTTCAGGAAGGACAAGAAGAGATTCCAAAAGGCATTCTAGGTAAATTCTAGATTTGATTCATCTGAAACGGAACCTAAAGAGGAGACAACAAACTTGTGTTTAATGGCAGATGATCATGTTGGTCAAGGCGACCAAGAAGAGGTATGTGAACTAATCTATGAGCAACTCCATGAAGTTTCTGAAAAAAATACATGCATCATATAAAAAACTTACGAAAACTCATGCTAGCTTGAAATTGGAATTTTTTAATTTACAAAAAGAGCTTGAAATTCTTCTCAAAGATCATTCAAC